TATTGATGCCAGGCCTGGACGCCACTGTCCTTGGCAGCCTGCCTGTTTCCGCACCACTAAGATGGGTCGCGCACTCCTTTTACCCTTGACTTGCTTCCCAACATTATTATCCTTTCCGTGGTGGCGTAAACATCAGTAGTATTTGTTCGTAGCGCTCTTCTTTGAACTTAATCACTCCAAATTAAATTGACTCTTATCATTTTAATCTTTGCAGCTGTGGTGGGAGACAAATTCTTAGCTACAGACCTAACAATCATAAACACGTCAGGTCCAGAAAAGCACCAAGCAGTTGCTCTAAGAGTAACCTCAAATGCTGCATTCTACCGGTGCGAGATCATCTCCCATCAGGACACTCTCTATGCCCATTCCCTCCGGCAGTTCTACCGTGAATGCTCGATCCAGGGCACAATAGATTTCATCTTCGGTAATGCTGCAGCAATCTTCCAAAACTGCTCAATACTGGTACGCAAACCAAATCCTGGCCAGAGGAACGTCATCACGGCTCAAGGACGAGAAGATCCTAACCAGAATACGGGTATTTCACTGCAGAATTGCACGATAGAGGCCGCCTCGGAATTCAACATGACGGAGAGGAAAAACTTTGTTACATATTTGGGAAGGCCATGGAGGAATTACTCTAGGACTAATATAATGAACAGTTATATGGGTGACCTTATACACCCACAAGGATGGTGCAAGTGGGATGTGTATAGCAATTTGGGCACTGTAGATTACATGGAATACTTAAATTCTGGACCAGGTTCAGACACAAAACATAGGATTTCATGGACAGGGTATAGGAAGAATTGCACTGAAGATATAGCAAAGCTATTTAGTGTTGAAAAATTCTTGCATGGAGCAGAGGATTGGTTGCAGTCTACAGTTCTCCCTCTTTTCAACGGCCATGGACCAATAAATAAGACAGAAATGCTATGTTTGGTTCGGGGTCAAGAATCCCCTCCCTTCTTCAACTCTGCTCCGAAGAGTAACTTGGATGAATTTAGTTTTCACTAAAAGAGAGAGAAGTGTGTAAATCTAGTTTCTTCTCGTTCATGCTTCTTTTTTTTTTT